ACACACTGGAGGTCTGAATTATGTAGGCTCTGAGAATGAGGATGGGGAGCCAGGACCCAGAAGGCATCCTGAGGCAGAGGCCTGCCTCCCACACTGACAAATTCTGCTGTCCTTCTTCACATCCTCTTCACATCCAAGCAGTAAGCCCACTCTACTCACTGAGTCAGCAAACTTCTGTGAGGCAACCACCCCAGTCAGATGCTGTGCTGGCCGTAATTTAACATTTATTCTGTTGACAGTTCAGTTAATGGTTGTGTCTTCCACTAGACTATAGCTTCGTGAGGATCAGGACCTGGCCAGTTTTGCTCATTGCTGTATTCCTAGGGCCTAACGCAGAGTAGATGGTCAACGACCATTTATTAAATGAATGAATGAAGTGAAAGGCTAAGAAAATATTGATATATGTGAAGACAAATGAAACCCAGTCCTTGCCTCAGAATGCTTACAACCTGGGTGGCTGGGCAAGTAAGCCCATCAGTACAAAAAAGAGTTCTTGTGTTTTGTGAGATATGGTCAGGCATGAGGCAACCACTTTCCAAACAGGCTGAACCCAAACTGGATCAGGCAGGAAGATGACAAGACTGGATCTTTGGAACTGGAGGGCTGACCTGAACTGGGCTAGAAGAGAGTGAGTCAGATGGGAAGAGGCAGGGAAAAAGATAAGTGGCGATTTGTCACCAGGCAGACAGGCTGCAAAGATGATAATGATAACACATAAGTTACCAATGACAAGGGTGTGTGGTGGGCCAGCATCCTGTTCTAAACTTCACCCTGCGTTTACTTTATCCTACTTAATTCCCACAGTAATCTATAAGATATCAGTGATCAGCTCTGTCTTAAAAATGGAGAAACCGAGGCTCAGACAAGTTATGTCCTATCTTTATAAGAACAGAGCTGAGGTTTAAACCCAGGTGGTGTGAAGCCATGGCCCCTGCTGTGTTGCACTCCGAGCAGACAGAATTAATGACCCCCGCAATAAGACAGGGATGAAGAGTCAGGAAATGTGTAGAGAGATAGCCAAAAGCCTTCCCATTCAGAAGCATATGGCCACCACCCTCTTTAAACAGAAGTGTGGAGAGATTGTTCTCAACATGACATCCAAGGTGTTCCATCTTTACCTTAAAAGGTCCTCTAAGGAATCTAATGATAAATAAATAATTATAAATAAATAAATTTGGAAAGGAGTATGTCAAGGCTACTTATTGTCACCCTGCTTATTTAACTTATATGCCAAGTACATCATGCTTGGATGAAGCACAAGCTGGAATCAAGATTGCTTGCCAGGAGAAATATCAATAATCTCAGATACGCAGATGACACCACCCTTATGGCAGAAAGCAAAGAAGAATCAAAGAGCCTCCTGATGAAAATGAAAGAGGAGAGTGAAAATGACGGCTTAAAGCTCAACATTCAAAGAACTAAGATCATGGCATCTGGTCCCAACACTTCATGGCAAATAAATGGGGAAACAGTGGGAATAGTGATAGACTTTATTTCAGGGGGCTCCAAAATCACTGCAGATGGTGATTGCAGCCATGAAATTAAAAGACGCTTGCTATGAAGAAGAAAAGCTATGACCAACCTAGACAGCATATTAAAAAGCAGAGACATTACTTTGCCAACAAAGGTCCATCTAGTTAAAGCTATGGTTTTTCCAGTAGTCATGTATGGATGTGAAGGTTGGACTATAAAAAAAGCTGAGTGCTGAAGAATTGATGCTTTTGAACTGTGGTGTTTGGGAAGACTCTTGAGAGTCGCTTGGACAGCAAGGAGTTCCAACCAGTCCATCCTAAAGGAAATCAGTCCTGAATATTCGTTGTAAGGACTGATGTTGGAGCTGAAACTCCAATACTTTGGCCACCTAATGCGAAGAACTGACTCACTAGAAAAGGCCCTGATGCTGGGAAAGATTGAAGGCGGGAGGAGAAGGGGAAGACAGAGGATGAGATGGTTGGATGGCATCACCGACTCCATGGATATGAGTTTTAGCAAGCTCCAGGGGTTGGTGATGGACAGGGAAGCCTGGCATGCTGCAGCCCACTGGGGTCGCAAAGAGTCGAACACGACTGAATGACTGAACTGAACTGAAAGGAATCTAATCACTAAGATCTGATGGACCTCAGTGTCTCTCAAGTTATCCCGTTAATACATTAATTCCATGGCAATGCCTTAGTTTCAGCCTAATCTGCCTTGTCTACGCAATGTCACGAATATCCTATCTGGTCTCTCCTCTTCTAATCTGCTCTCCAGCCAAGAGGAATCTCAGAAACACAATCTGCACCCCTGTTTGCTTCCCAGGTAGCTCAATGGTAAAAAATCTGTCCGCCAACACAGGAGACACAAGAGATGCGGGTTCTATCCCTGGCTTGGGAAGATTTCCTAGAGGAGGGCATGACAACCCACTCCAATATTCTTCCTGGAGAATCCCATGGACAGAAAAGTCTGCAAGGCTACAGTCCGTCGGTTGCAAAGAGTCAGACACGACTGAGCACACATGCACACACCCTGTTTGAAATCTTCTAAGCAGTGGTTGACAAGCATGACTGCTCATTAAAATCACCTGGGAAGGTTTCAAAACATACCAGTGCCTGGGCTTCACCCCCAAAGATTCTGATTTAATTGACCCAGGGTAGAGTTCAGAAATTAGTATTTCTAAAAAGCTCTCCAGGAGCTTTTAATATGGAGCCAGTCTTGAGCACTGCTACAGCTGAATGAGATACCCATCCCTGAGCTAGTCATACTCAGACTGAAGTCTCCTCTCCCACCATTCCTTCCTGCCCTATGTTCAATATTCTAGCCATGATGAACTGTTGGTGATTCCCCAGGATCATCTGTTTATTTTAAGCTGCCACTCTGCAACAAATGGTATGTTCTTTGTCCAGAAAATGTCCTAGCTCACCTCTTGTCAAACTCCTTAGTGTTCTTTGCTTGGCCCCAAGGCCACCTCCTCCGTGAAGTCTTCATATGACTAGGCACAATTGGTGACTCCTTCCTCTGGGCAGCTGTAGCACTACACCTACCTCCATATTCACATGTCTCTATTGTTCTGAAACTATGTGTACAAACGACTCTCTCTCCTACATAAGGGTATCAGAACAGTGATGCTTCAGATAATTTTGGTGGCCACTTCGTGTTTTTTGACCAACATTTTTCTAGCTCAACCTGTATCTTATCTCTCTATGTCTTCACAGGATCTTCTCTCCTACCACCTCATAGCCCCACACAGCCCCTCTGACATATGCGCAAACCTGGAAGTGCCAAGGAGCTAACCTCTGGGGCAACCCTTGACCAACAGGGATGAGAACCCAGGGATAAAGCCCTAGGGCAGTAATTCAGAAGTGCTTTTTCCACAGCTCTTCAGCGGGTCCTAGTGGGATCGGGCCAATCATACTACTATAAAGATTCACTTTAGATGAACAAAGACCTCCTTCCATTTTTCCAGGCCAACACAGGAACACAGAATCACAACAGTCTTGAAGACCATCATGAATGATGAAACGTCATCCGTGACCACAAGTGTTCACTGACCACATAGAGCCTAAGCCTGTCATGGATTTGGCTTCCTAAGCCATCTCCCTCACCAATGATGCAATAATGAACATACAAAAAGGTCAAATCAAGAAGGCAATCACACACTTTTGGAGCTGGTAAACAAATAGCAAAACCAAGATGTCATGAGGCTTCAACTGTGAGTGAAGTTAAGCCAAGAGAGCCAGCATCACTGAATATTTAAAGTCAAGAGACCATTGATAGTGAGATAGTATCAGCTTTCAGTGCTGACAAAGAGACTGCTGTGCACAGCCCACTGGGCTGAATGTGTGTGGCAAACAGATGCCAATGTAACATCCAGGCTTCTGCTATAGAGGAAATGATTTGAGTAACTGGCAATAGTTTCAGAGGCCTGGCATATGCACTCATCTTTCCAGGTTCAAAGTTTAGTATATTCAAATGCAAATATATATATATATATATATATATATACTTTTGCATATGTATTTCAGGGCTTCCATGGATATGTCACTGCCTACACATATATATGTGTTCATTAGCACACTGGTCTCTGGGCCCTTGAAGATTTATTAACTACAATTCAAATGAAAGTTGAAAATCGATGTATTTACAATAAAAACTTAAACTTACTATATGCTTTTAAATTAATGGATTAAATAATAAACATATTACAAGGTATTAGTGAGGTATTCATGTCTTTGAAATTGAACTTTGATGAATTTGAAAGGAAGCAGAAATAAATCACAGCAGAATTAATGACCCTAATTATTTTTAATTACACACACACACACACACACACACACACACACACACTAGCTCCTCAAATGTGGAAATTTCACAAGAAATCTATACATCCATGAATTCATTTCAAATTACTATATTCAATACATGTATGTGGTCTCCAGGGGCTTTTTAAAAATTGATCTTTAAAGTGATTTCTTTTCAATATTTTAGAGATGAGGAACAAGTCTTCTCCACAATCTTTGACTTCCAAAGTGCTTTGTACAGAGCTGTCTAGTAAAGTTTATTATTTTGGTGATAGTGATAATAATAGAGTAAGAACAAAGAATGCAATGTTCAGTAAACAAAGAGTTCATTGTTTCCACAAGGGAACAATGAGTAGGAAGTAGAGATAGTACTAGAGTTATGGAAACCAACACAGTATATCATGGATCTGGATGTGGTGAATAAAGCATTTGTCTCTGTTAGAATACTGATTTAATCAGTTTGCTGAACAATCATAAAGACAATTATCTTTCCACCCCTAATTGATCCAAGGCATTCTCTCCTCCAGAATAAGAATCCACTGCCGTTTTACTCACCTAGTTCAGTGGAGACTGATTTGCTCCTGGGCTTCCAGAAGCTCAACTCCTACTGCTCTGATTTACCATAACTCCCCTTTCCCTCTGCCCCATCCAGGGACCCTCAAACACATGTACACACACACACACACACACACACACACACACATACTCAGGGGTTTGAATTACCTTAAGATTTTCTGGCAGTGCTTTGTTCTGGGTCAGCCCCAGAGCGAGCAATGCTATCACAGCGATGATGCAGGAGAAACCAAGGATGCTCAGTATGTTTTTAGAGCAAAATACCTTCAGTTCAGATTCTAAAATCAAAAGAAGAAGAGAAAACATCAATAAGAAATGAACAGACATTAATTTTCCTCCCGTTTCTGTATGGCCTATGTTGGCTTTCTGGAGACAGCAAAGACAGATAAAAGCTGATCTTTATCCATGAGGCACTTGCAAAGTAATTGGGTAAAAGTTAAAAAAACAAAAGGATGTGTCTGTACTGTGATGAGGGCCAAAACTGAGTTAGTGGCTGTGGTAAGAAAAATGGGCAGAATTAGGTCAGTGATGAGATACAAGATGAGAAGGAAAAATCCCAAACTGGCAGCTTGTTTACTAGGTCATATAAGTCTATCAAGGTTAAAGAAACAAAGAAAGCAAAGATGGCCTTCCTCAATTTTAAAATCTATCAAAATATGAGTACGATATTAAAAAGTATTCAGAATGTGTTACCAAACAAACATCAAAGTCCCTCTGCTTCATGACATTTCCTGGCTTGACCTTCACTTCAACCACACTTACATGTTAAATAACTGTAGGTAATAACATAGGGTCTATGGAGTTTTAAACATTTCATCATTTGTATTATTTTGTCTATCCTGTAAATACTCTCATCATCACGGGACATAAAAAAGTCCCAGAAGCAGAATTCTATAAAAGGCAAATTTACTTTGAGCAGGATAAACAGAGGTTGTGGCAGCGGTGAACAGGAAATGGGATGGTTACCCCATTCCCTCCACTCTCATCCTTCCACTCTAGCTTCCCAAACTATCCCCAAACCTTTTCCTGAGCCTTTGGCGAAGAAGGACAGGGTCACGTAAAAGAAAAAAAAAAGCATGTGGAAATGAGATGGGCTCTCCAAAATAGTTTGCACTTCTATAAGAGAGAGGCCAGGGACTAAAGCAACTGAAAGAGGAACCTGAGTCCCCTCCTCCTCTCTCCCTCTTGCTCAGCAGCAGCAGCTTCACCAACACAGGAGCTCCTCCTTGGGCTCGTGAGCACAAGCTTGGACTTAATCCAAAGGGTGGTAATTGCCTGCGTCTCCAGTCTGAATCTGCCTCTAGAACCTTGAATCAGTCTGTTTCCATCAAGCCAAACAGTACAAAACTTAGGGGGAAAAGTTTTAGCAACACCATTATCTACTTCTTCCAAACAAAGGAACAATGAATGAAATATACGATAAATGAAATGTCCCCCTCCTCCCTTCCCAAAGGAATCTGTTTTGTTCAGATGCCTTCTGCTCCCCTAAGCAGCCCAAACATCTCCTGGGAAGGGGCTGACTGTTCTGCATAATCTCCTTCCCTCTCCAGTAATTGGTTCAGCAGTGGGCATATACCCCCAAAACAGCCTGTGAGACCCTGGAGGAAGACTGCTGGGGCAAGTCTAGTAAAAGAAAGGAAGCATTCTCTCTTCTTCCTCAGACATGGTCCAGCCAATGATGGTAGAGCAGAGAGATGGAAAGAATTTGAGTTCTTGAAGCATTTTGAGCTGCTGAAACAACTTATCCTGATCTAATCCTCTCATGAGACTCAAGCTTTGATCCAATTAGAGTCATGATTTAAATACCTTGAAGCTAAAACATCCTGATACAACTGTGACAGGAATGTCCTTTTTGCTTCCAGAGCTGTGGAATCTGGAAAAGAGCCCCTTAGCTAACTTTACCTATCTCGGTTCCCAAAGTTGTGATATTGACAAACACAGCTTACAAGCAGCACATGTTTTAGATGAAAAATTGCAAATCTAATCTAAAAATTGCACACTGTAACAATAATTCTACTATAACAGAATTGTGAATACTCCCTCAAACTGTTCAAAAGGTCTACCTATTCTTTTGTTTCTGTAAATATGACAATTTTGATTATTTCATTTTCATTTTATCCATTTGGGTGCTAACCCAATGAAAATGACCGAAAAGGTCACTGCATATTGGAATTGACATCTAGTTGGGAAGATAGATAAGTCAGAAAAGAAGTCTGCAGATAAGGACTTCAGGTCATGAAAAGTGTGGAGGAGAAATTCAAACCAAGAAATGTTATAGAGTGACTTGCAGCAGAGTTGGGGTGGGGAGATTAGACTGAGGGTCAAGAAAGGTCTTTGAGACGATGACATTTAAGCTTAGACCTTAAAGGTGAGAAAACACCACTTATGAGAAGGAGAAATAACACTCCAAGAAGAGGAAGCACAAGCTGAAAAAGCCCTGAGGTGGAAAATAGCTTGAAGTGACTCTGTTTCTTCCTTTTTAAAATGAGAATATTCACTGAATCATTATTAGCACTGAACACCAGGGAACCTTCCTACACTGTGGGTGGAAATATGAGTTGGTGCAGTGACTATGGAGGACAGTATGGAGGTTCTGCAGAAAAATAAAGAGAGAATTACATGGGGAGTAAGACCATCCCCAAGAAAAAGAAATGCAAAAAAGCAAAATGGCTGTCTGAGGAGGCCTTACAAATAGCTGTGAAAAGAAGAGAAGTGAAAAGCAAAGGAGAAAAGGAAAGATATTCCCATTTGAATGCAGAGTTCCAAAGAATAGCAAGGAGAGATAAGAAAGCCTTCCTCAGCAATCAATGCAAAGAAATAGAGGAAAACAATAGAATGGGAAAGACTAGAGATCTCTTCAAGAAAATTAGAGATACCAAGGGAACATTTCATGCAAAGATGGGCTCAATAAAGGACAGAAATGGTATGGACCTAACAGAAGCAGAAGATATTAAGAAGAGGTGGCAAGAATACACAGAAGAACTGTACAAAAAAGATCTTCATGACCCAGATAATCACGATGGTGTGATCACTCACCTAGAGCCAGACATCCTGGAATGTGAAGTCAAGTGGGCCTTAGGAAGCATCACTACGAACAAAGCTAGTGGAGGTGATGGAATTCCAGTTGAGCTATTTCAAATCCTGAAAGATGATGCTGTGAAAGTGCTGCACTCAATATGCCAGCAAATTTGGAAAACTCAGCAGTGGCCACAGGACTGGAAAAGGTCAGTTTTCATTCCAATCCCAAAGAAAGGCAATGCCAAAGAATGCTCAAACTACCGCACAATTGCACTCATCTCACACGCTAGTAAAGTAATGCTCAAAATTCTCCAAGCCAGGCTTCAGCAATACGTGAACCGTGAACTTCCAGATGTTCAAGCTGGTTTTAGAAAAGGCAGAGGAACCAGAGATCAAATTGCCAACATCCGCTGGATCATCGAAAAAGCAAGAGAGTTCCAGAAAAACATCTATTTCTGCTTTATTGACTATGCCAAAGCCTTTGACTGTGTGGATCACAATAAACTGTGGAAAATTCTGAAAGAGATGGGAATACCAGACCACCTGACCTGCCTCTTGAGAAACCTGTATGCAGGTCAGGAAGCAACAGTTAGAACTGGACATGGAACAACAGACTGGTTCCAAATAGGAAAAGGAGTACGTCAAGGCTGTATATTGTCACCCTGCTTATTTAACTTATATGCAGAGTACCTGATGAGAAATGCTGAGCTGGATGAAGCACAAGCTGGAATCAAGATTGCTGGGAGAAATATCAATAACCTCAGATATGCAGATGACACCACCCTTATGGCAGAAAGTGAAGAAGAACTAAAGAGTCTCTTGATGAAAGTGAAAGAAGAGAGTGAAAAAGTTGGCTTAGAGCTCAACATTCAGATAACGAAGATCATGGCATCTGGGCCCATCACTTCATGGCAAATAGATGGAGAAACAGTGGAAACAGTGTGGCAGATTTTATTTTTGGGGGCTTCAAAATCAAAGCAGATGGTGACTGCATCCATGAAATTAAGATGGCTACTCCTTGGAAGGAAAGTTATGACCAACCTAGACAGCATATTAAAAAGCAGAGGCATTACTTTGCCAACAAAGGTCCATCTACTCAAAGCTATGGTTTTTCCAGTAGTCATGTATGGATGGAAGAGTTGGACTATATAGAACTCTGAGCACTGAAGAATTGATGCTTTTAAACTGTGGTGTTAGAGAAGACTCTTGAGAGTCCCTTGGACTGCAAGGAAATCAAACCAGTCCATCCTAAAGGAAATCAGTCCTGAATGTTCATTGGAAGGACTGATGCTGAAGCTGAAACTGCCATACTTTGGCCACCTGACACGAAGAACTGACTCATTTGAAAAAACCCTGATGCTGGGAAAGATTGAAGACAGGAGAAGAAAGGGATGACAGAGGATGAGGTGGTTGGATGGCATCACTAACTCAATGGACATGAGTTTGAGTAATCTCCGGGAGTTGGTGATGATCAGGGAGGCCTGGCATACTGCAGTCCATGGGGTCACAAACAGTCGGACATGACTGAGTGACTGAACTGAACTGAGGATCCCACAATCCTACTCCTGGGCATATATCCAGAGAAAACCATATTTCACAAAGATACATGCACTCCAATATTCATTGCAGCACTATTTACAATAGCCAATACATGGAAGCAACCTAAATGTCTATCAATAGATGAATGGATAATGAAGATGTGGTATATATAATGGAATATTACTAAGCCATAAAAAAGAACAAATAATGCCATTGGCAGCAATATGAATAGAACTAGAGATTATCTTACTAAGTGAAGTAAGGAAGCAAGAGAAAGACAAATACCATATGATCACTTACATGTGGAGTCTAAAATATGGCACAAATGACCCTATCTACAAAGCAGAAACAGACTCACAGAGGACAGACTTGTGGTTGTCAAGGAGGAGGGGCAGAAGGACAGGGACGGTTTGGGAGTTTGGGGTTAGTAGAAGCAAACTGTTAAATTTAAAATCGATAAACAACAAGGTCCTATTGTAGCGCACAGGGAACTATATCAAGTCTCCTGGGATAAACGATACTGGAAAAGAATATTAAAAAAAAGTTTATATGTGTATAACTAAGTCACCTTGATGTACAGCAGAAATTAGCACAACATTGTAAATCAACTATACTTCAATAAAAAAATAATTTAAAAAGGAATTATACTTCCCCAAATTTGCCCAGTTTTTGCAGTGATATCTATATTATTAGAATATATGCAAGTCTTTCATCACATTCATCTTATCAAAGATATGATAACAAAAAGAACTTAAATCAAAGAATAAATTTAGGAATTTTTCAAAAGCTGTATTATCAAAAAAAATAATGACTTTTTCATGTGAACTAAGCACAACTGAGCAACTTCACTTTCACTTTTTACTTTCATGCATTGGAGAAGGAAATGGCAATCCACTCCAGTATTCTTGCCTGGAGAATCCCAGGGACAGAGGAGCCTAGTGGGCTGCCGTCTATGGGGTCGCACAGAGTCGGGCACGACTAAAGCGACTTGGCAGCAGCAGCAAGTTACTTAGAGAGGAATAATTAAAATACTATGCTCTCTATGAACCATGTCAGATAGTTTTCAGAAGTCATTATCACATGGGAGGAAGCCAGGTTCTTCTTAGCAAGTGGTACCAGATGTGGGGCTTCCCAGGTGGCTCAGTGAGTAAAGAATTCAGGTGCAATGCAAGAGATGCAGGAGACACAGATTTGACCCATGGGTCGGAAAGATCCCCTGGAGGAGGAAATGGCAACTCACCCCAGTATTCTTGCCTGGAGAATCCCATGGACAGAGGAGCCTGACAGGCTACAGTCCACGGGGTCGCAAAGAGTCAGACACGAGTAAAGAGACTGAGCACAGCCACAGACATGGGGGTCCAGAGCTGGACTTAGCGAAGACATGTTCATCAAAGGGAACCACTTTGGTAACCTGCCTTTCTTCCTAGGCCCCAGAGCTCTTTCAGATGTCATGTCTGCTCCAGTCAAGCTCTATTACGGAAAATTCACGATGACTGTATCCCCCTGAAAAGCCCTTCATTTCCCTTGTGGATAACAGAAACGTGGTTTGTATTACACAATGTGAAATTGTATTTTAAAAAACAATTTCAAGAAACGTTTTTACCAAAAATATCTTAAAGATAAAGTGTTATATTGTTTTGAATTTTCCCACTATCCTGAGGAACTCAAGACTGCCCCTGCCCTCGCATTCCCTTCCTGTCACAGGACGAATGAGAAAGTTTCTCTGTTTGAGCTGAGAGATAGAAATGTCAGTTCTTCACTTGACAGAGACAAAACTGAAGGAAATCCAAGCTTTGACAAAACAGGCTGATTTCAAGCCAATTAGCTATGTCAGAGGCAAAAAAGCTGATTCCTTTTCACTCTGACAGAAACAGTTATAATGACATCCAGAGTTGGCATCCTATTAAAGATTAAAATTACGTAATTTGTCCTTAGTCAAAATTCTGCAATACAGAGGAATCCCAGCTTCTCTAATTTATGATACCAAAGATGTTTTATCTTAAAATTTCACTCTATTAATAAGAAAGATTTGGGGTGTTGGCAGATGTGGTGGATTTTAGGCAAAAGAAAAAAAAAAAAAAACAGAAGTTTTGCTCTGCAGATTCAGTGTGACACATTAGATTCAAATCGTTTCCGATTTCTGATGGGTTACATCCAAACCAAGCTTGGCTTGTCATATAGAGAACAAAACAGCCAATACAGACAAGCACTGGAGAGTAAACTTCAGTGGAGTGCTGTGGTCCCTTCCTGTGTTTACACAGGGCAGTGATGGGACAATCACTGAAGCTCAGGGGACTGGTCCTAATCTGACTTTGCCATTTCTCCAGCTCCTAGAGTATCTGCCCCCTCTCTGCCATCTTCCTTCCTCTCCATCGGGGACTTCTTGTTGACACATACTTAGATTGTTCTCGCATTCAAGGGCTTTGAGATCCTTTCTCAGCTGCTTCATTCCAGGTCCTTTAGACTCAACCTCTTTTACGGCAACAGCCATCCCTCTGTTCCAATCGCCACCACTTCTATAATAGCCCATTCTTGTATCTCCCTAATTCTTTTTCCTATCAGAATCCATCCTTCATGCACCTGCATAATTCCTCCATAATTGACATTCCCAGGGCTCTTCCTGATTAAGAATGAAGGTAGTTTTCTTCTGCTTGCCAGATGAAAGCTTCACTGTCTGCCCAGCCCTCTCAGCCCTTTAGAAATTTAAGCGCTTCGCATCTCACTATTCCAATAAGCAGATGTGTGTGTCTGAGATCATACTGCCTAACATTACAACCACTAGACTGTACATTCCCTAAGTGCCATGACTTTTTTCTGGCTCATTCATTGCTATAGTCCTAGTTGAATGAATAAATGAATTTTGCATGTTGACATTTTCAACATGAGATTTCCTTCAGCTGGAATTCTATTCCCCTCTTTCTCCACCAAATCTTTTTCCTTGTCATGTTCAAACGCAAGCTCAATAGGAGGCTATGCTTCCCTCCACATTCTTCAAAGCTCAATGGTTCCAGTACTCCTCTCTTCATGTGCTACCTCTAGATATTTAACAGATTAACCTATTTTGGTTTGGGAGTTCTGCAGTTGTTATTTCATTCATTTTTCTATTAGTCAGTCAACAATTATGTATTAAATGCATTACACTATTCAGTAGACCTGCCTGAGGCTAGAGTTACAGCAGTGAACAGAACAAATTTTTCCATTTCATGGTGCTTATATTCTAGTTTGAAAAAAATAAACAAAACAAGTAAAATTTATAGTATGTTAATAATTGTAAGTGCTAAGAAATGAGAAAAGGCAGGTAAAGAGGCAGAATAGAGTCATTAGGAAAGACCTGAGATGGTGATATTAAAAGTGATAGGGATAAAGAGACCACAAGCACACTACTTGGCCAAGAGCATTTAAGATAACTGGAACTGCATGTGCAAAGGCCCAGGGCTGGAACAGTACCTGGCCATGAGGCCAGTGTGGCTGGAAGAGTGATGAAGGGGAAAAGAGTAAGAGATGGTCAGGGGTGGGGTCGCTGGGTACCTTGCTCATAGGGCTTTGTAGGTTCTGGTGAGGGTTTGGTCTTACTCTAAGTGATCTGACTTCTTTCTAATCATTGGTATAATTTATATTCAGCACCATGGTAAACAAGGGACCACCAGGGACCTTTGAAGACCCTGAAGAAGGAGGGTGCGATCTTTTAGGTGGCAGATCTCTGCCTCTTGTAATGAAGTGCTGAGGTGCCCCAGTGACATCAGCTCTTAGGACGACCACTCAGTCAAGTGCAGACAGAGCCTGGCTCTGCTAAAGTAGAGCCTGTGCCAAGACCAGGGCTGGCAAGACACGTCCAGGAGCAGTAAGAACCATATCATGATAGATCTTCTCTATACCTTCTGTTCTCGTTGGTAGCTCAGAGCTGTTAAATCTTCGCTGAGAGAACATCCTTATGAGGGGCCTCCAAACCAAAAGGCACCTGGATCCATCACTCCAAAGCCAAACTCCATAGACTTCTGAGGGTTGGCTCAAGCTAGAGCAGAGTCCAGACAACCTCACCTTTGCTCACTCTCTAATCCTCCAATTCCTTGCATTCAAGATGATTCATAATAGTACGGACTTCATAGGGTTGCTAGGTAAGAGTCAATGAGCTAACAATACCTAACAACCTACAAAAGAGCACTCACTGTATTCCAGATTATGTTCTCAGCATTCTACACATAGCAACTCATTTAACCTTCACAACACTCCTTCGAGGTACTATTATCATCATCTGTATCAGCTTCCTATGGCTGCCACAAGAAATTACCACCAATGTAGGTGACTGACAACAATAGAATTTTATTCTCTCACAATTCCAGAGGCTAAAAGCCCAGAATCAAGGTGTCAATGGGGCCAAAGGCTCTGGAGAGATTCCTTTCTTGCCTTGTCTAGCCTCTGGTGGCTCCTGGCTTTCCCTGGCTATGGCTATATCATCCACAGTCTGCCTCTGTCTGCACATGACCTGCCCCCCTGTCTCCGTGTGCATTAGATTTCCCTCTCCTTTCTCTTATGGGGCACCAGTCATTAGATTTAGGGCCCACCCTAAAGCCAGAATGACCTCAAGATCCTTAACTACATCTACAAAGACTTATTTCCAAATAAGATTGCAGCTACAGGAACTATTATTATCCTCATTGCTGTCACTTTACAGGTGAGGAAACTGAGTCATAGGTTAAGTAGACTGCCCAAAGTTATACTGATATAAATGTAGGGACCAGGAATTAAAGTCGGGCATTCTGGGTCCAGAAATCAGGCTTTTAGCTACCACTCTACCCTACACCATGGGGCTTCTCCAGTGGCTCTGCAGAAGCCTGCAGAGAATTCACCTGCAATGCGGGAGGTGTGGGTTCGATCCCTGGATCAGGAAGATCGCCTGGAGGAGGGCACAGCAACCCACTCCAGTACTCTTGCCTGAGAAATCCCATGGACGGAGGAATCTGGCAGGCTACAGTTCATAAGGCTGCAAAGAGCTGGACACGAGTGAAGCGACGGAGCACACAGGCGCTACCCTAAACCACATGACTGCGCCTGCTGTGCAGTACAAGTGTTGAATGTGGGAGTTGATCTCATTATCCAGAAGGGAACCGAGACTCACGTTAAGGATTTGACTGAAGGGGTTGTCTGGACTGTTGTCGCTGAGGACATCAGACAATGTCACACTTTTTCAAATATAGAGTCTTTTGGTCCTTGATGGTCAGAAGCTAGCAGCTAAGAGACAGAGGCTGGGATTACGGTTCCCAGGGAGGTTAAGGGACTTGCTTAAAGTCACACAGCTGGTAAGCAGCAGAACAGCGACTGGATCCAAGTCTCCCAGCTCCACTCCACTGCCTCAACTATTGTCCTGCGTTAGAGATGCATACAAGTTACTCAGCTTCATTCCTTCTTGGCTGAAACAATCCAAAAGAACCCTAAGTTCTGTTCAAATAGATCTTAAATTTCACCCTCACCCCATATTTCCCAGTTAATAAATCTAGAGTCAGTTTGAAGATAAAGCAGTTTAATTTGGTGAGGTTTTTTTCCTGCCTGTTTTTAAGTCAAGGAAGTCACTACAATGTCAATAAATAGACAAATGCTAGAAATGCACCTCAAGGCCTCGATGATGGTCAATTAGTTAAAGGGTAAAAAGTAAAGGAGAGGAGGGAAAATAAGATAGACACAGAGAATACGAGTGGAAGGGAAACGGGGGTGGGAATAGAAAGAGAGGTAGAGAGAGACAGGTTATTTAAGAAATACCCAAGTCCTGTTCCACAGATCGCTTGAACCACAGATTTCAGAGAAAGTTATGTGTGCTTAGTCGCTCAGTCGTGCCTGATCTTTGCAACCCCACGGACTATAGCCCACTAGGCTCCTCTGTCCATGGGGCTTCTCCAGGCAAGAATACTGGAGTAGGTTGCCATGCCCTCCTCCAGGGCATCTTCCCAATCCAGGGAATCAAATCCAGGTCTCCCCACATGGCAGGCGGATTCTTTACCATCTGAGCCACCAGCGAAGCCCTCAGAGAAAGTTACTTGCTTTGTTTATAAGCCTTTGTTTCTGCTCTTTGAAATGTTAATTAGCTGGTTAGTCTCAGTTCACAGTACTTTAGTTAGAAAAAGAATGCATTATCCTAACAAAGTAGCCTGGTTCGTCCTGAGTGGTCCCCGAAGAGGCTCAGCTTTGGGTGGGAAGAGCCCATTGAGTGACCCTGGGCAGTGGAACTGGGGTAGGGGAACAGAATAAATTCTTCCTGCTAGTCAGATTCTGCCAACCTCAGCTCATCACCCAAACGTTCTTGCTGTGGGCTGTGCTCTTCTCAGATTGGCAGCAAGTAACTGACTGACTTTGCACTGGTGTGCCTGACTCTAAAAATGTTAATAATTGCAAAAATCAAAGAACAGAAGAAGTTCTGCATATGGGAAATAAGGAAGCAAAGAAATCCCCATCCCTTTCTCCTTCTCCTCACTTCCTCCCACCGTACCACCTACCTCCTCACCCACCCCCTTCTGGCCTTTCCTGAATTCTTTTGCCCATAGATTGCATGGAGCACAATAGATCTTTATGGACTTCGTGGATTCCCATATTCAAGTATAGGGTTGTTCTGGCAGAGTGATATCACTGAGACCACAGACAGGAATTCCCTGTGACCCAGCCAACAAGGGTAATAACCTCATGTGTTGATAGTCTCTGCAATAAACATACTGCTTCCACTAAACAAATCCTCTTCCATATCTGAAATTGAACAACTGTGCCCTGGGGATTCTATCCTTTCTCAAAGCAGCTGCATTTGTCAACAAGCCTTGGTTATGTGTTGCTGGTGAGAAAGACAGAAAATCTGTGCTGGCCATATATCACTAGTGTGGGAGTCAAAGTGGGGAAGGGGTGAACTGACTCACCCAGGTAGCCCAGCCTCACAGCCCACCCCTCCACCCTCCCACCTCTGTCTTCTACATCTCTTTTGTAAGTTATCTTATTTCTACCTCCTCATTTTTTCACTTATGAAGTACGAAAGTCAGAAGCAACATAAAAATATTTCGGCAACAAAATAAGCCATAAACAAAATAAAAAATGACAAACTGAGGAAAATGTTTATAACAACTATGAAATAGTTGGTTTCCTTAATATATGAAGTCATTAAAAATTGATAAGACAATGATCAAGACAACCCCTCAGAATTACAAGTCAATACCAGAAAAATAAACAATCCAATCAAAAAGTGGAGAAAAGACCTAAACAGACATTTTCCCAAAGAAGACATATAGATGGCTAACAAACATATGAAATGATGCTCAACATTGCTCATTATTAGAGAAATGCAAGTCAAAACTACAATGAGATATCACCTCACACCAACCAGAATGCCCATTATCCAAAAGTCTACAAACAATAAATGCTGGAGAGTCTGTGGAGAAAAGGGAGCCCTCTTGCATGGTTGGTGGGAATGTAAATTGATTTAGTCATTATGGAAGACAGTATGGAGATTCCTTAGAAAACTAGGAATAAAACCACCATATGCCCCAGCAATTCCATTCCTAGGCATATACCCTGGGGAAACCAAAATTGAAATAGACACATGTACCCCAATGTTCATTGCAGCATTATTCACAATAGCTAAAACATTGAAGCAACCTAGATGTCCATCAACAGATGAATGGATAAAGAAGCTGTGGAATATATAAACAGTGAAATATTACTCAGTCATAAAAAGGAACACATTTGAGTCAGTTTTAATGAGGTGGATGAACCTAGAACCTATTATACAGATTGAAGTAAGTCAGAAAGAGAAAGATAAATATCATATACTAACACATATAAGCTGAGCACTGAAGAATTGATGCTTTTGAACTATGGTATTGGAGAAGACTCTTGAGAGTCCCTTGGACTGCAAGGAGATCCAACCAGTCCATCCTAAAGGAGATCAGTACTAAGTGTTCTTTGGAAGGACTGATGCTGAAGCTGAAATGCCAATACTTTGGCCACCTGATGGGAAGAGCTGACTCATCTGAAAAAACCCTGATGCTGGGAAAGACTGAAGGTGGGAGGAGGAGGGAACGACAGAGGATGAGATGGTTGGATGGCATCACCAACTCAACGGTTGGAGTTTACTCCTGAGTAAACTCCAGGAGTTGATGATGGACAGGAAGGCCAGGCGTGCTGCAGTCCATGGGGCTGCAAAGAGTCAGACACGACTGAGCGACTGAACTGAACTGAACTTAATTGAACACATATATACGGAATCTAGAACAATGGTATCAAAGAATTTAACAGACATAGAGAACAGACTTATGGACATGGGGAGAGGGGAGGAGAGAGTGAGATGTATGGAGAGAGTAACATGGAAACTTAGATCACCATATGTAAAATAGATAGCCAATGGGAATTTTCTGTTTGATTCAGGGAACTCAAACTGAGGCTGTGTATCAACCTAGAGGGGTGGGTGGGGAGGGAGATGGGAGGGAGGTTCAGAAGGGATATATGTATACCTATGGCTGATTCATGTTGATGTTTGACAGAAAACAACAAAATTCTGTAAAGCAATTATCCTTCAATTAAAAAATAAATAAGTTAAAAAAATAAAAATGGGCAAAGAACATAAATAAGTAATTTAAAGAAAAATAAATACTGTCAACATATTAGAAGCATTCTAATTACTTTATCTTAAAGAACTGTACTAAATGAAAAATGAGATACTATTTATTACTTACCAGAATAACAATGTTTTTTAAAGTTTGATACTAGCAAAGTTTTTTAATATATAATATTACATACTTATTAGAATGGCAAAAAAAAACAGTGTTGGCAAGGATGCAGAGCAATTGGAAGTCTCATACACTGCTGCTGGGGATGCAAAATGGAACAGCCACTTTGGAAAGAATTTGGGAGTTTCTTATGAAGTCAAAACACACATGTGTGTGTGCATGTGTGCGTGTGTGTGGGTGTGTATGCTAAGTCACTTTAGTTGTGTCTGACTCTGTGTGACCCCATGGGTTGTACCCCACCAGGCTCCTCTGTCCAGGGGATTCTTCAGGCAAGAATACAGGAGTGGGTGGTCATGCCATCCTCAAGGGGATCTTCCTGACCCAGGGATTGAACCCACGTCTCCTGCATTAGCAGGTAGGCTCTTTACCTACCCACCTGAGAAGCCCCTTGTTAAAATATATACTTATCATATAACCAGGTAATCCTACTCTTAGGTATTTACCCAAAAAGAGTGAAGATGTGTCTACACAAAAACCTGTACCTGATTATTTATAACATTTTTATTCATCACCCA